ACCTTACTTTGATGTCTCCGCTTGCTTTGCGTCCTTAGAGGGTTCATTCTTAGGTCTTGGTATAGGAAACTCGTCCCGTTTAGGGGCTGGTTTCCATGAATTTGTGGCAACCACGCTCATTCCCCTCATAGCCATGTTATTTCTTCTCAACTATTGTTCCACTTTGATGGCTTGGTGCACCATATTCGTTAATTCCACATAATGTTGCATTTCTATCTCATGATTTAGACCATACAAGAATCTTGCCACGGTTGCTTCATGGTCCTTCTCCACATTTGCACGGATCATTGCAATCTCCATCTCCTTGTAATAATCATCTACGCTTTTGGATCTTTTAGTTAGGCGTTGCAATTTGTTATATAGCTCTCGGTGGTTGTAGCTTAGAACAAATTGCCGCCTCATGATGGTCTTCATCTCGTCCCATGTCTTGACAGATCGTTCTCGGTTTCTTCTCCTATCCTGCAATAATTGGTCCCACCAAATGATAGCATAATCGGTGAATTCAATTGCAGCGAGTTTTACCTTTTTAAGCTCCAAGTAGTTATGACAATCAAGACCATCTCCATACGTTTCTCCCACTCAAGATACACCTCGGGATTACTCTTCCCTTGGAAGGATGGATTCTTCACCTTAATGCTCCCCAAATCATCATCTCGCCTAGGTCTACCCATCCTAGCTTCTCTATTCCCTCTCCCAAACCTATCTCGGTTCATTGGTGGATTCTCAAGCTCCTCTAACTCCTCTTCTTCCTCAAACTCACCCCATCGATTCCCGGTTGGCACACGCCTAGGTGGTTGCCTAATGGGATTATTTTGTTATCCATCCTCTCATGAAGTTGTTCTAATTCCACCCTCATCATCCATCTCATCTCCCCTACCAATGCCTGCATTTGTAGATTCATAATTTGTATATTCGGATTGGCTTCTTGTTGAACCTCTTCGGTTTGACGTTCACCTTGGTTGTGAGACATGATTAGAATCTGCAAAAATAAGTTAGAAACCTCACAAGCACTCCCTCATGTGTTTCACTCCCTTATGTGTTTCACTCTTTACACTCGTGTTTGTCATTCAATGGCTTTTACCCTCTAATGTTCTCACCATTCTTGCCTTTTTTTTTTCTTTTTCACTCGTTGTGTCTTCTTTAGTTCTTAATTGGACTCAAAAACACTCAAGTTTTTCAAGTAACAATCAAGTTGATGGCAACCGGACAAACTAGTAAAATTAAAAAGGATCTGAAACTAATGAAAACAAGTGAATTTTAGCCCAAAAAATGGTGTCGGTGGGCTTTCCCAGCTGTGATTTTAAAGCTCGAAAAGAGCTTCGATTTGATATATTATGGGCCCCGTAACGATTTCTGGATCAAAAGTTATAGCCGCTCCAAGTCACAGTCCTCCGATTTTTTTTTTCTCGGATTCTCTCTGTTTTTTTTTTAAATGTAAAGCTTTGGCTAATAAAGGAACCTAGGTCAAATTTGATTGAAACTTGGACCCCCTTATGAAGTTTTTCGGCCAAAGGATAGCAACAAGGAAGGAAAACCTAATTGAGTTCCAACTAGGTCTAGGAAAAGCTCTATCCTAAATTTGGCCAAAGATAGCAAGAAGGAAAGAAGGATTTTAGAAGCTCTATCTTAAATTCGGACCCTATGAATTCCGACACTTTTTTTATTTTTTTAAGAATAGGAAATTCGACCTTAACAAGGAAAAGAACCCTAGAGGATAATCGACCTCAGCAAGATGTTCGGCCTCAAGAAACCCTAGGAACCTGATTTTTTTTTTTTTAATATTTGTGGAAATCTCAAATCAAAACAAGAACAAAAGAAAGAAATCAAATTGAAACCCTAAGACACTAGGAAAATAATTAAAGATAGTCAAACTTGCCTTGGAACCAAAGCTCTGATACCAACTGATATGAACCTCGTCAATAACACGACAAGACCCAAGACCAAACGCGGATCACAACCCCAAGAACTTCAAGACGCAAGATTGTTGAGCCTTAACCCGTTGTCTATCAAGACACGAATCAAGAACTACGAAGGTTGAAGAACGCCACACCAAGATTATTAAGAAACACCCGTTAATCTCAATGATAAGTCCAATTGTTTGAACGCCACAAGAACAATACTTGATAAGTTCAAAGTCTTCTCAAGAACAAAGAAGCACGAATATGAGAAACCTCAATATCAATAATAATTCATCAATTAATTCAAAAACGTGTTTGTACATTCCTATTTATAGTTGATGCGATTTTAACCCTAATGAAAAAGTAAAACATCTAATTACCTAAGCCTAAAGCCCAAACTCGGCAAAACCCTATCTATTCTAACCCAATGCCAATTCGGCCACAAAGCTTTTCCCCTAGGCCCAATTCGACCAGCCCCTTCTAGGCTCTTATTCGGCCAGCCCTCGTTAAGCTCTTTGCACTTTAACTTGAATCTTCTAGAACCTTAATCATGGTGATTAGGTTCTCTTCATTCAGAATTGGACTTGTGTTGGGTCTCCATGTGTTTGCCGTATCTCCAACTTATTGAACCAGCCCGTTCAATGCTTCCTTGAAGTGTTTGACTTTAAGCCTTGTCACCAGACCACTTGGTAGTCTCAATAGATCTCTTGAATGTTGCGTCGGTTTCCCTTGTGCTCCACCTATCGCATCACATACCTACCTCATCAATACTTTATCACCCGATCCATTAGACACCTTTACTTACCATGGTGATGATGACTTTCAAAGAAACTATTCTCGAATCAACCCACTCTAGGCCATTCCCTTTCGAGTGGATTCCTTTCGAAACAATACCTCAAAGGCAAATTCCAACAGCTTCAATCACTGTGACCATTGCCACCATTGCCCCAACACATAGTAATATGACCACTTGCACTTTGGCGACCTGGTGCGCTGATGATTGGTGACCCGAAGATGACTTTTCAACCGATTGGAACTCCCCATGCAATAGTCATAGCCACTACAGTCATCATGACTGGCGTTTCAACACGGCCATTCAGTTAATCGCAATTGGCAAGAACACAACCATATCTAAGGAAGTATAGGGTCTAAAGAAAGCCATCTTAGATAAAGCAAAGACCATACAATGGCATATACCTTAGACCATATTGGACATCCTACCGCATATGAAGGCTTGTTAGAAGAAGCTGATACCTTGCCACCAAAGGTCATCTCTATCCAACCTTTTATTCATTTAGCACTTTGAGATTTTTTATTGAATAATGATTTACTTTTTGAATGATTTTATTTATTTATTTATTTTTTTGGTTTTGCAGGACTCTTCTTGGGAGATCTAGCACTGCAATGCCCCATGTGCTATCTACCTTCGCCCTCTAATCACAACAATGAGAAATCAAATTAGTTTATGCGTATGCATCCTCGACACTTCATACTCCTTAGATCTACCAGACCCAACAATGAAAATGAAAATTCTAAATAATCAGGTGCAAAATGAAAATTTTGCCCAATGTCTTTTCTGCGACCAAGTTTTGGTCGCAAAAAAGTAGGGCATATTTGTTTCCCGTCTCATTTCCATTTTTCACTGTTTTCGAGAAAAAAAATTAAAAATGCATACAGAAAACGTGTTTGGCCTAAAATTTTCTAAAATTAAAACTGAAAACACTGTTTTCATTTTCTCTTTTTTTCTCTTGTTTTTGAAAACGAATTTTTTCCGTTTTCATGTTTTCCATGACCAATTTTGATTTGGTCGTAAAATATTCATTACTTGAGATCAAAAAATTTTTGGTCGCCTTTTCTTACGCTTTAGCAACCAAATTTGGTCGCTGATATTTCATCTCAAGTACTAATTCTTAGCGACCAAACTTTGGTCGCAGAGAACCACCTTTTGCGACCAAAAATATTTTGGTCTCAAATTTTGTAGTGAAATGAAGTTTTGGTTTCTACAAAAGTTTTGTAAAGATCTAGTCATAATTTGTGTGTATATAATAAAATAACATTAAATACCGCGACTTAAATTTTTTTGTTTTTTTGTTTGATAGCAAAGGGGCTGAGGCTTAAACACCTTTGAACAAATAGATTTTTTTTTTTTTTTTAGGGGATTGGACAGATAGATCTTCCAGCTCAATAAATTGTCAAATGTCAACACCCTCACATTCTGTATATGCTATTGATTTGCCCGGGTGAAGTTAAAGCTCTACAGAGTTTTAAATGTACGCTCAACTCCTTACACAATAATAGAAAATCAAGCAATATAAGGCTAACTCCAGAATTATCACAAAAATTACTTGTTTTGTTCTTAATTAAGTCTGTCTTTTAAATTTCTTCCCTTTTCCCTTCTTGTTCTACCTATAAATCCAATATAATTATATCCTTGATTTGTTTCCTATAAAGCATTATAATTATAACTATATTAAAAAGTTTCTTTGTTTATATGATTCTCGTGATAACAATCATGATCACCGGAAAAGCTAAATTACATCTCAGCAAACTCCATCATGCCTTTTCTTGTACTCATTTGTACTTTCCTAATCAAATTACCTAGTTTTTAGTTTTTACTATTCATGGTAGGTCCGTCAATACATAATATACACATAAACCGTTAAAAGCACTATCTTTATATTATAACCTTTTCGTATATAGAACATTTATATACTTTCTTGTTTCATCCGCTAAAAGCAGAAAAAAAAAAAATTTCACTCGCTAACAATATCTGTCAAAACAGGCACAAGATCATACACCAAGTCATATATATATATATATTATACTAATAAAACAAACTTTTTAGCGGGTATCTGGAAGCAGATCTCTTACCCATTTGATCACATATCAAAGTGATCAATTACAGTGTGTATTTTCTGTATATAAGGGACTAAAGAGACCTAAATAAAACCATAACAGACCAATAAGAAGAAAGAAAGAAAGAAAGAAAGAAAGAAAGAAAGAAAGAAAGAATCGAGATCAAGCAAGAAAGAAAGAATGGATCAAGGCAGCTTGTTATTTTCTTTCGGTAGAGCTTTCTTGCTGATCATTTTCTTGTCATACATGGTTTGCTCCATAGCCGAGTCTAGAGCTAAGCCCAAGGTTTTCAATGTGATGGACTATGGTGCCATTGCAAACGGAAAAACAGACAATAGCAAGGTAATTGTGTAGGCTCGCATTATTTTTCTTTTTAAGATTTGGTTTTCTGTAATTTCTGTTTATTTTCCAATCACATAATAATGATATCGGAAAATTAGGTGAATCGCCAGTTTTGTTCAGTACTCATTTTAAATTAACAGCCAAACTTTTTTTTTTTCTTTAGAAAAATGACTGAACTTTTTTCTAAGAGAAATGACCTTTTCTCTTTTTTTTTTTATAGTGGTCAATCACTAGATATACCATGGTTTATCAGTGATGAATTGGTTTATATATCAATGATTTATTAATAGTTTGTTATATTATTGATCAAATTGATTTTACTCATTCAGTGATACACCACCAAACCAATTCAATAATAATAATAATAATAATAATAATAATGATGATGATGATGATGATAATAATAGTAGTAGTAGTAATAAATACATTTTTTGTGATGGTATAGTTTTTAACATCTTTTGTGGATTTCTTATGGGATTAATTTTTAGGCTTTTTTGAGAGCTTGGAGAGAGGCATGTGAATGGGAGGGAAAGGCTAGGGTTTTAATACCACAGGGAACGTACATGTTGTACCCAGTGGAGTTCATAGGTCCTTGCGAAGGTCATATGGCCTTTGTTATTAGGGGCACTCTAAAGGCTCCAAGTGAAGCTGCACAAGCAGGCTTTTACAGTGCTGAGAAATGGATAAACTTCCGAAACGTCAAAGGATTGGGTGTCGGAGGAGGCGGCACCGTGGACGGCCAAGGAGCAGCATCTTGGCCGCTTAATGACTGTGGAACGAACGCCAATTGCCAAACTCTTCCCACTGTAAGTTATTATTCCTTTATCCATGACATCGTAGATCAGCTAAACTTTCCTCTAATGAGTCTTTTTTTTTATATATAAATAAATAAACAAATACATAAATAAGCTCACTTTTTATAGTTTTACCTTAAGCTTAAAATGTCCCATTAGGTAACAGATCTCCCTTCAATATAAAGTCATTTACGTACCTAAAGTTTCTGCTTAAAATTTCATAATCATAGTTCAAAACATATAAAATATCATAATTAATTGTTCATATATAAATATATTAAATCTTCCCAAAAAAAAAAAGACAAAATTTCAAAGAAACTAAGAATGTGTACATAATCAGTGGTTGAGACAAGGATTTTGTTTGCCGGTGGCATATCTAAAAAAATGTAAAAAAAAAAAAAAAAAAGCTTAAAAATCTAATAATATCAACTCTTAATATTATTAACTAGATAGTTAGAAGCATGTTCCACATGTGTATATTGATCAGTATATTGAATTTTTTGATAAGTGAAAATAACTTTTGAAGAAAGATTTGAGAAAAAGTATTTTAATGGGTCAAATATTTTTTTTAATAAAGGTCACCTTTGATATAATAAATACTATATAAAAAATATTTTATAAGGGATAAATTTAGAAAATAAAAAATTAATGTTTTAATGAGAGTAATTTTGAGGGAAAATAACTCAATTAGGTATAAGATTTAATAGAAAAAGATCGACAGAACAATCATAAAAATTAAAAAGTAAAAGAAAATTATTGAGTTTTGATTTAGTGGAGATATATTTGATTTTTTTTAAATGAAGGGGGCATATATGAAAAAAAAATTGAAAATTTAATATAGTAAAAATTAAAAATAAAAAATCGAGGGGGCATCCCTTCCCCGGGGCCTCACTTACCTCTGCCAGTATACGTAATTACAATATATTGCAAGATATAATCCGTATATATATATCGTTTCATACCTAGCCATTGAAGTATATGTTGTGAAAACAGCTCTAAAGACAATTTAAATTTTTGAGGTATTTTAAATTTTAGATGTTCTTGATGTTACGTTAGGATAAATAACACTCTAAATGACAGAAATCCGTTGTGATTTTAAATTTTAGGTACAATTATGGGAAACGAGCAAATTTTTGCATGGTTTCTTTTCAGGATATTCACCTTTTTATATGTTGTGTTTTAAGTTTATTCAAAATCTATAATGAGGTTTTTAATCTCACGAAATATATACCTTCAAATTAGATTTAATATATAAATCTATGTCTTATTTTAGTCAATAAATGATTTGACCTTTAAAATGATTAAACTATCCTTAAAAAAAGGAAAACACTAGGTTGTTTGGTTGCTAGATTCATGCCATAATTCGAATCATGGTTTGTGGTTCACTACAGTATTTTCTCTCATAAAAAACACACGTAAATTGATAATAATTCTGCATCATGATTCTGAATCCATGAACTAAATGTCCACGTCTTTCTAATATTATAATAATTTAAAATTAATAACATAAAAAAAACATTTGAATGGTATTTTACATATTTTAGAGGTCAAAATTATAAGTTTAAAGTTTTTTTTTTGTTTTTATATGTTTTCATTTAAGGGTATTTTACGTATTTTTATGATTAAAATCGAGAACTGATTGTGAAAATGTATAAATTTGGATATTAAATTTAATTTGCATGTATAATTAAAAACTAAAAAGATTTTAAATAAACTCAAAACACGAGGCATAAAAATATAAATATCCCTTTCTTTTTCTTATTTTTGCTTTATTATTTTTTTTCCGAGGTTACAAATTCATGTTCTGTGTCATGTCATGCATGTGTCACAACAAACTGATGAAAAAAATAAACTAAAACTTTGCAGACGATGAGATTCGACTTCGTGTCGAACGCGAGAATTCACCACCTGAAATCCATCGACAGCAAAAGCACTCACTTCACTATCTTCGGATGCGAAAACCTCAACATCACCAAGGTCCAGATCTCGGCCCCGTCCGACAGCCCCAACACGGACGGGATCAAGATCGGGACGTCTCGCCACGTGGGGATCTCACGTGCCACCATCGGGACCGGTGACGACTGCGTATCGGTCCTCCCCGGCAGCTCCGACATCCGAATATCGGAGGTCGTGTGCGGGCCCGGCCACGGGATCAGCGTGGGGAGCCTGGGAAAGTACGTGGACGAGAAGGACGTGAGGGGAGTGATAGTGAGGAATTCTAGTCTGAGGGAAACTAGCAATGGAGTTAGAATCAAGACTTGGGCTACTGATTATGCTAGTACGGCTTCTGGTTTTCTGTTTGAAGATATTGTGATGGACAATGTTCTTAATCCCATCACTATTGATCAGAATTATTGCCCCCACGGTGCTTGCAATCAGAAGGTATGTTTCTAATTTCTTTAGCTTTTAATATTTTATATAGAAATAGAATACATAGGCCAACATGTTAAAAGATGATGATACTTTATAGCTAGCTTGAATGTAAGTTTTTAGAATATGAAAGGTACTAACCTTGGTTTTTCTTATTTATTTATTTTTTTCTTAGCTAAATTACCAAACTTACTTATTTGACTCTTAGTTTTGATTTACAACTAAGGTTTTTTTAATTATGTTGTTTTCTTTTTTCTTTAGTTGTGTGTGTGTGTGTACATATATTTTTATATATATTTGAAAGCATAAAACTCTAATTTTTGAGTCAGTACTTGAGGAACATTCTGCTAATATGTAAAAGATCAATCCGCTTTTGACTAACTCAGTAAACTCTTCTACCAAATCATCCAAACTCTTCTAAAAGTATCTTTTGAAACTTAAAAGCCTTAACTACTTTCTAAATGGCCATATTAATTAAGCACTCATATATTATTGTATTTTCGAAATACTTTAGACTTGGATATTTCTACACTGTTCATGGTTATAGATAAATAACAAGTAATTAAATAAACATGTATACATAAAGATTAGGCTTAGTCAATGGATCAGCAAATCGAGCTTAATTACTCTGTGGTAAACATCAAAAGCTACTTGATGTTACTTTAGTCATTTTTTTTTCTTGCTACAGAAGCTATTTTAGATATAATCACACTCTGTCACATAGTCTAAACTGTTGTGTAGACCACGCTAGAATTCTGGAAATGAATAAAAGTGATTACCATGGTGAAAATTGTTAAACTTCTCTTGCATTATTTCGATTTCATGTTTCTGAATATTGTTGTGAAAGTGAATTATTTCCCAACTCTTCTTAATAGTATTTTGGATGTTTCCAGTGCGAAATAAAACTTGATTCCTAACTGGCATTCTTTTTTTTTTTCCTTCTTTTTAAACTTCTCTACGTATAGGCTTCTTCTCATGTGCAAATCAGCAACGTGGTGTACAAGAACATCTGGGGAACTTCGAGTTCAGAGGTTGCCGTCACTCTGCAATGCAGCGAAAGCGCGCCGTGCAATAACATAGTGCTGGGGAACATCAATTTGTCTTATCACGGTTCAGGAAGAGCTCCAAGCTCACATTGTTCTCATGTCAATGGCTTCTCTTTTGGCAAACAAAGCCCTCCTTCATGCTTGTAGCTCTGCCCTTTTTTTCAGAATCTATTATGGAACTCCTTGGAGACCTTTGATTCTAATCGGACTTGGATATATTATTGTATGTGAGAGAGAGCTTGATGTTTAGTTTTAAATCTTATCATCAGGAAATGGCTTTTTTGTTCATGACCCAGTCCCTTAAGAGTGAGAGAAGATTCCACTCGAGGCAAAATGCATTTCTCATGCAACACAAGGTTCTGACTTTTTTTTTTTTTTTTCTCCGCTAAATATTCTGACCAAGGGTTGCTTCTTTTAAAGTAGAATTTTGGATGAAATTTTCTATAAGATTAGAAAAGTATTGCCTTTGGGCAACTATTACGTTCCTTTTCCTACCTGGGTTGTTACCCCACTGATAGAATTTAGTTCTCTAATCAAGTTCCATTAAGTTATCCTACTTTTTTAGCTAATATTATCTTAAAATACTCAACGGTTTAGAATTATATTGTACATGTAAAGCATTTTTTTTCATATCCTATCACAGAATTCTCCTTTAGAGCAACAAAGTTAAACTGTTCGTCGGGTAATCTATATTAGATAAGACCGAATAAATGCCATAAAAGTGATTCTGTATATATATATATATATATATATATATACTCTAAATGTGGTTCAGGCCGACTTTACAGGTTGGGACCGAGGGAGGAAAAGTACTCACTACCATCCGAATCTTGAACCATACTGAACACTTTGAACAAAGCTACAACTCAATGGTGCTAATTAAGCGCATCTTTATGCACCACCAAGCTAGATTCCTTATTTCCTCGCCACATTTGACATTAATCTCTATACTACTACATATCAATGTCAATCCCACAATTGCTTATGAAAACACACAGATATATAAAAGAGAATAATGCTATTAAAAATTGCACCTACAAATATGAAGGTGACAATCTATTGCCATGTTGGGATTTCTAACACTACTCGTATAAAAAGAATTCTTTTTCCTTCTTTTTTCCCCTAAAAAGTTTAGCGTATGCTCCCCTAATATGGAAGAGGCATTCCTTTTGCTTTTTAGAGCTAATTAATGAATTCAGAAAGCTATATGCAAGTCAAAAAGCCTTAACAAAGCTAATATTAGCCTAAACAATCAGCAACATCGAAATGAAGTGACAAGATTTTTTATGCCAAAGATGAAGTGACAACAGATAACATGCATTAATTTGCACAAAAGCACTTGATAATAGGCAAGCGGCGAGTCACCAGATGCATAATGAGATACAAAAATCAAACAGAAAAGATAACTTGAATGAAAAATTCTTAGAGCAAGGTCTATCCAATAACCATAATGGTAATTATGCTTTTCCAGTGTAACGTGCACTAGTGTGATAAATAATATTCTCAACATAACCCCTGTACCCAAACTAGCATTATCCACTTGCATAAATGATATTGCCAAAACACAGCAGAAAATAGAGGTGAAATACTTAAGATCGAAACCATCCCGTAAAAACTTCAAATTGTGAAGCAGGTCCCGATGTGTAGAGTAACAGAACAACAATTGTTGCTGAATAAAAAGATTGACATATTGAAAGAAAGAAAGGTGTTTCATCAACCACTAAAACCCAACAAATTTTCTCCAATTGGTAAGCGGGCGGGACTAATCCTTACATAGAGGACTCGTCAATGCAACGGTGGACGAGTAACTCGAGCCCGCACTGGTGTCTTTGAGGGACTTACCCTACAAAATTAAGAAATACGGATCAGATACAAACAATGTTGTGTTGTTGTTGAAGATCTAGATGATAAAACTTGTTCTGTCTGCACCTTATAGGTTGAGTCCCCAAGACCATTCCACTACAATTCAGTGCAATTATAGCGCTTTCTGCCTGCTCATCAAAACAAAGACCCCGTAAGCCACAAAATTGCTTCACCAATAAGAATGGGACAGAAATACTAATGCAAATACTGGTATGGGACTGGAACATTCATGCTTTATCCCTTTAAAGAAACTGCTTCTATGCGCAGAATGTATGCGAAATTATGTCGTTCAATCGCAGAGAGTTCAGAAATGATGTAAATACGAAAGAAGCTAAGAACAATGTATTTAATGCATCATAAACATGGCGTAATACTGTAATAGTGTTTTGACAATGCAATCTTCACTTCTTCAGTACCCACAATTACTGAGCATTGACTTACCATGGCAAATTCAACAAAAGCTATACGAGTTGAATGCACATGATCCCCCAAAAGCCTTATACGAGTAACCTGGAAAGAAAAGTAATTACTAAATCAGAAGACAACAAAATAAAATTCTTAAAAAATGCTTCCAGAGAGTCCCTACTTCCCCACAAGCGGATTCAAAGAAAGTCTTGACTTCAGTTTGAGACACCTGCAATTGGAGAAATATAGTCTCAGTCTGAAGGTGGTTAACTGCAGTTATTCAATGTTGATTACAAATGCAATACATAACAACCAGTCTCACGGGCCACCTTAAGACAAATGCAATGAGAATGAAACAAACAATTGTTGTGGTGAAAAAAGAAAAATTGATTGGCTACCTTCTTATCAATATTTGTACAGTACACAGTCCTTGAACACATTTCCCGTTCATCATCTGACTGCATTTTACCACAAACAGTAAAACACCAAAACATCAGTTAGGCAAATTCTCTACAGAGTGAATCCTAAGGAAGTGTGGTCACAGGGTTGAAACAGAATAAAGATGCAGTACAATCACTGTGCAGAAATAAACAAAAGCAACCAAGTTACTAGATTTATACTCGAGGAAGGAATGTAGGATTCACGGGAAGGATTGCAGTTTTTGAAGGTAAGACCCTAACTGGATAGTATCCTAGCACTGTCCCACCAAGATTTAGAGCTGCTCTTGCACCGTCTGTTCACACAAATTCAACCTTAAAGAAAAGTTGAGAAAAACAACAGCTTTCACATGTTTCTTTAATTAATTGTTGGGAGACGGGAAAAAAATATGAACTTACGCTCATCAGCAAACTCCACAAATGCAAAACGGAGTACCGAATGCGGATCACCACAAATGCGGCAATCAACAACCTTCAATTATGAGAATCGCAGCATAACTTTAATTAAAATTATGGCAGATATTAAGCCATATGAGTCTAAGAGAAGTTTCCAGATAACATGAGGCATAATCCAGGCATATCTACGTGAGCCAACAAAATATTCTTTGGACACTCCGTTACAGATCAAATAACAGGAACATACAAGTCGTATTTCCAGATAAGAATGCTGGATGAGATATTGGCTTCAAAAAAGATGAACAGCATTTAGAGAAACTGAGACAGAATGTGCCACCAAGAAAAATCTTCATAAAGAACGTGCATAAAAGACAAATGTAGCATAAATTGAGCTGAAGCAGCTCAATTAGGTTGAGACATAAATGTACAGGAAGCAACACTATAACCGATACAAGCAAATAGCCACCTCGTCCCAAGGTAACCTCTAAAAATGAAAACTTCCTAGTAAAATATGCCAAGAATACAGAACTTGTCTAAATATGGAACAGTTTTAGCAAGTTAGCATATTGCATAAGAATCTTTAAGGAAAGCAAATTCTACCAAGATGAAAAATACACCCCAGGCGACCCAAGTGGTGGAGGGGGGTCATGGTTTAGAGATCATATTGCATTGGGTTTGTGCATCCAAAAGCAAATCATTATCTTCGGATAGTTGCATTATTCCCAGCAATATTAATCAGAGTATCTATCCTCTCAACTGATAGATTTTCAGGTCAAATTACTATTACTAATGAGAAAGGACAGCATCTCCAAAGATAATATAAAGGGAATGGGACAAAAATTGAGCAGAAAGAGAAACAGGTTAACCAAATTGAGTTAATGTGTGAATAATCTTCATCCCCATCTGAGATTAATAGAAAATATATGAAAGTTGACAATCAATTATATGGGTAAAAATGCTAGGCAGTGCTAACCTTTCTATGAATCTTAACCTCAAAAAATAGACCACCCGAACTTCACTAAGACCATTAAGATGTGCAGGCTAAACTCTCTAACATGCATCATTATGTTCAAGTAAATGTGGTCCTTAAGTCCTTAATGAATTATATTTGCACGATAGAAACTGATTCAAGAAACAGTATCTGGTGAATATGATATGAAAAATGAGATGAAGGAAAATGCAAATCCGCTCCAGGAAGCTGCACTATTGACCGGAAATCAGATGGAAGAAAATGCAATGGCCAAGCAGCTGCATCTTAGAGAGTGAACATAGTGGAATAAAGCATTTATAAGTATACTTCTCTTAATTGAGCCTATTATAGAATTAGACCATATTATACCGATATTGACAAGCAGTCAAAGTTTTAAGAGAATATGCATTGCCAAGAAGTACCCCAATGAAGCAAACAAGTGTAAGAGCAATCTAATAGAGCAAAATCTTTTAAAGACGGGAAATCGAGGGAAGTAAACACAGAATCTTTGACTCTGTACTAGTGTGCAATGTCATTCAGGTATGCACAAAATGCAGAAATCTAGTCTGGAATATCAATTCATTCAACTAACAGACAAACATAAAGATCCAATTAATCAGCTTCTTAAATTGAGCACAGCAAGTTGATAGTACTTTGCTTACCGATCAAAGTGCCCAATAAAAACAAAAATCATAAAGCCAGGAATTTAACTTACTTGTCCACAACCGCTAAATAAGGCAGCAAGCCTCTCTTCAGTGACCTAAATACAGAACACAGTACCATTGAACTCTTAATTGTTTATTCGCAATGCCTATGAATGAAGAAAAAGAAACCCATATCAAACTCAATTACCTGCTGATCAATATCAGAAACATATACAGTTCGTCTAACACTATTTTCTCGCTGAGCTCTAAAGTTTCTTCCATTTAACCTTCTCCTCCCCTGATTAAAATTGTTTCTCCTCTGGAAATAACACCCAAAAAGAATCAGCAAGTAAAATCAATATAGAAAATCAAAAAACAATAATATTTAAATCCTTTTCTAAAGCATTATCCTTATACTCAGAGAAGAAAAGGAAAAAGGATTTTGTCAATAGTTTTTCTCCAAGCAAAACTCAACCTAACTATAACTTTCAACAATACTTTTTTTTCTATTTCTCAACCAACTAGCAAGTTCATAGAAAATTATCGTCAATTGCCCATAAAAATAATTCACAAAAAGAAAGACCCCGATCAAGCACTTCGTTATAGTTAAGCTATAAAATCTTGAAAGCCACAATTCTAGAATTTACACATAAAAAACCAAAAAGCAATCAAAAGGTAAAAATCAATACCCACATAGCCAATATGTTCACCGATCATGAAGTAAAGAAAAGAAAGTGAAATAACAAAAAAAAAAAAAAAAAAAAAAAAAAAAAAAAAAAAAAAAAAGCCAGAGACCAATAATTAACAACAATCAGAGCTAAAAAAGAAAAACAATGAAAAGGCAAAGCTAATATGTCTTCGATAAAGCAAATTACAATACCTTTTTTCCATTTAAACATTTTCTAATACAGAATCCAATCACTTAACCAACAACGCACGGTGAATTAATGAACAAAAAGTGCAAAAGATACCCAATTTATTCTCAACAAACCCATCATAAATTCAATTGTCATTTCCTCAAAACAAATGAACGAGGACCCAATTTTCAGTTTTGCCAAATTAATAGGAAATTGAAAAAAAAAAAAAATCTTTTTTTGGAAAACCAAAAACCCATTTCGTCATCACTCAAATTAAAAGAGGTGAACTGAAATAGAGATCAATCAAATTAGTACCCTTCTGTTATTGTCGTTCACCGACAGCTTGTAGTTGGCCTCGGAAGAATCGAATTGGTAAAAGGTATTGTTGTTATTGTCATCGTTCAGGTTTCGGTTTTGCTTAGAAGAAGGGAAAAACTCTTTGGCTAAAGGGTTGAGTTTGGTGAACATCTCAACCAGTTTCTCCACATTGCAGAATTCCGATTCTTCCGATTTCTTCACTTCTTCCGAGTTTGACTCGTTCTTCGCAGCTGCTGCCTCACCGGAAATCTCAGGACCCGCAGCCATAGAATCAAACCCCAACACCCCCACAAACACAGAGAAACAGAAGACACAATTTTTTTTTTTTTTTAGAGAGAAATACAAAACAAATTATAATAACAACCTTCGAAAATGCAGGTTTTCGGATTGAGAATCTCAGGAAGCAGGAAACAGAAAACCCCAGAAAGGAAAGGGAATTGCGGAGACTCAGAAATGGGATTTTGGTCCAATATGATCAGAGCTTTAGAGAGAGAGAGGGAGAGAGAGTTGAAAAGTGTGTTGAGTGAGAGGGGACGTTAGAATGGGGGAGGAAAGAGAAAGACGAGCTAACGTAAAGATGACTTAAGCCCAAAACTTCTTGTTATGTGATCAATTTCTCTAATGTATATGGCTCCATCTAAGGTGTGTCTTACAACTTCAACTAATTTATTAAGGGACTCTCCCATGGTTAAATTTAATTAAAATTAAATGAGATTAAAAAATATATATAAAATAAATAATTTTTAATATAAATTTAATGGTTAAAAACAGTTAGAAAAAATAATATTATCAGTAATTTTATTTTTATGGTCTTATAGGAGAAACTCTCATTTATTAGTTTCAATTTGTAAAATTCACAAATTATGTTATCTTAAAAAAAAAAAAGAGTTTTTTTGATAGGATCAGAAAATTTTCAGCCATCAGATCTATATCAGAAACTGTATGTTCTGCATATCAAAAACTGATTTATTTTGAGTAGATCTAACGGTTAAAAAACTGATCATACCGGTAGAAGGCTAGTCCTACCAGTAGGAGGCACATAAAAATTGAATGTAACCAAGACTTGTTAAGACTAAATCTCAAATAATGAAGACACAAGCGAATATAAAATTAAATTTAATTGAATACTAACACCCATTAATAAAATTAAAAAGCGAAAAAACCACCTCCATTATCCATTATTACATAACTAACAAAATAATAAAACAACATAAAACAATACTAATAAAACGAAAGTATCAACAAAGTCCAAAGACGAGATACGAAGAAACTACCTCCGTTATTTTTTCAAATTTAGAAATCCATCACCCAACGTTTAAAATTTACAAAGTTGTAATGTAAAATTCACGTCAGACACGTTATCAGAAATTTTTCTCCCCCCACTATAACTCCATATATCTCTATATATACGTACGTACATACATACATACATACACTGGTTTCTCCGTATATATTTTTCTCTTGATTTCAATGCTTTTTTATTTATTTTTTTTCCGTCTCTCTCTCTGCGTGTGCAGTGTGTAATATAACAATGGAGTGATGGTGGAGGGTTTTGGATTCATTATAGATGTCATTTTCAACGGCCATTACTCTCATTGTGAGGGTTTGTTGGGATTCTATTTAATTTTTCAATTTTTTATTTATTTACATAAATGTCATTTTTCATATTATTGTCCTCGGATTGACATATTTACTTGGTGAGAATTTTTTATACTATAGGAAAAAAAAAAAAAAAAAAAAACGGTATTAAAAAAACGTTGAGGTAAAGTGTGAAAGTTCCTTAGGTCCTATTTTAAATTATTAAATTTACATTAGATTTTATCAATTTTGTGAATCTTTTAATTTTATTAGATAATCTTTCAAAACCACGCACTATAGATGAGCGGGTGCCCTAATTATTGTAAAAGATACAATTTTATTTAATATGATATGATATTGATTTAACAGTTGAATAATTTCATATCCTCTTGTTGAATTCTCCTTGTTTATTTTCTTTAATAGCTTTTCTGGACCGGCTTGTTACATATATTAAATTGCGTGACTGTCTCATCTAAGCCTCGTAGAGAATTAGAAGGCCTAGTATACGTTGGTTTTCAACTGTAACATATGTTTAATCAGCTTATATTTTCATGGTAATGTGATAAATCTTTTTTTTTTTTTAGAATACATTTTCAAGGTAGTATGATAAATCTAGTTTTTCATTAAATTAAAATTAAATTTTTGACGTCATGCCTCATCAAAATTAAGAGGTGGCGAATTCCTTCAACTCCCAAAAAAAAATAAAAATAAAAAATCTTAAAACAAAAAACTCCCGTTTCAGTGTATTGTTTCGCTGCATAAGGATAATATGGCGCACTTCCTACACTGATAGAAGGCCATTCTTAATGGTTGATCTGAGTGGACCCCCACAGAACAACGGCCTCACAAGTTGCATATTTTGCAGGACATGCATAAAATAGGGTTCCACTTTTTTATGCATAACTAGTTTTATAACGTGCAAAGCTTATTCCCATGTTAAAAATATCTGAAAAGTTAATTATTTCTTAAATAATGAGAAATTCATTTGTATAATAATTTAAGGTTTTTTATATTTATTTAAAAAAAAATGTGAAGATAGCAATTGACAAAAAGTTTAAGTAAAGATACATTTGAATAAAAAAAATTTAACTAATTAAAAATAAATAGGAACGTATGTAAAAAAAAGTTACTCTTATAAGGAAAAAAAAAGGAACAATATATATTAAAAATACATAAAAAATTAAAATGTAAAAAAGATTCAAAAAATAAAAAAGGCAGCCCTATAAAAAAGAGTTTTTGTTTTTTTTTTTTTTTAGGAAGTTTAGCTCTTTTATATATTGTTAGATTAGATAAATAAAAAACAATGTGCATTTTTCTTGAAGTTATTGCATCTCTCCCCTTTTCTCGTTGTATATTTAGTGATAATAAAAAAGTTTTGTTTTTGTTCTTTTTTTTTTTTTTTTGAAAACTTTGATTTTATATTTCCCTCAAAAAAAGAGAAATATTAGCATAATTTTTTTTGTCAAATGGACTCCACTAATATGATATATTATTATTTAAACAAAAAAAAATAGTGAAGTCTACGTATCATACAATGAATAGAGAGAGTTATAAATAGAGTGACAAAAAAGAGTAATACTAGCATTTCTGAAAAAAAAAAAAAAATGGTATGTTGTTATAAATGTGGGCCTTCAATAGCATCTAGCAGTGTGGACATGTGGTGTCTCAAATACTAGACGGCGTTGATCAAAGGTTAAGAACCAGATAACATCTTTATTCATTTTTATAGGGTTAAAATCTCACTATTCATATGATGTAAGTCCTGTTAATAGATATGTGAGACCTAACCTAGTAGAATCTACTACTTTATGTATGTGAGGTTTTATTTCCATAGGACGAATATCATTTTGTTAGCTTGCAGTAGCAAACGTATGTTTAGCTCTACGTCTATATTGTTATTAGCATGTCTTGTTTGGAGCTGGCAAATTATTATTAAACATCTTAATTTTGGTTTCTTAATTAATTCTTTCACAAAGTTTCAAGAGATTTTACATCGAGTCTTTGTTTTATACTTATAATGGTTGGTGACGTATCATTATACATTTGAATAAAAATGAACTATTACGTGACAAAAGTAGTTAGACATTTTTAACTTTCAATAATGTTAGAGGAGTTTTGATGTATTATGATACATCTGGTGCTTGCATTATATTAGTAGCACTTTTCTTTTATATTTAGTTTGTTATGGTCAACACCATGTTTGTAGAATATTAGCACAAGACAATTTGGTTTGAATGGTAAAAGTACATTTTTTTCTCTAATCAAACTGTATCAAAGATAGATAAATATCTTGACTACAGTGGCTAAATAAAATTTGAGTATAAGAAAGTTGGATGTTGTAACCGACAGAAACAACAGTCAAGAAAGTGAAGGAGGGTAACGATTCAGCTTTCCGAGCTGTTATTTACTGTGGCTTGTACTTATTTTAACTCAAAAATCCTCTAGTCAGTTTGGGTTGCAAGCTTGGTTATGGCAGGTTCTTTTGTCTAAAAAACTTAAAAAAAGACAATTTAAGTTTTAATTTTATTTAAATTCACGTTCTTTTAAGTTTTAACTTTATTCAATTTTACTCAACTTTATTCAAGTTCTAACTTCAACTCAAGTTATAACTCAAATTCAATTTAAAAATTACATTCAAATTACACTCCAAAAGAACAACTCTTAAAATTTCAAAGAGATTTTTTTTTCTTTTTTTAAAACTTAATTTGAATATCTTCTTTGCGTTCAGTCGCGCAGATTTGTGAAACACGACTTCATAAACTACGCGTGGAAACCTTATTAAGATTCTAACCAGTCTTAATATAATAGTATTACAGCCAAGTCCTAAATACTTAAGTCAGAATATTCTAACATAATAAAGTATAATAACAATAATTTGCATGCATAAAATATTTAAACCAGAAATTAGAAAGTTTATTTCTCCAAAAGCATTTTTAAATTATATAAAATAATTGTTCATTCAATTAATTTGTTCCCGTGTATTTGGAAATATAACTCTGTGATAAAGTTGTTGGCCCAAGGTTTAATTAGTGTCAATTTTAACAATTATAAACACATGATTATGTAATTACTAACCAATTCATCTTGAATGTGTTTAAGTGAATTAATTATCAATTATGATCAACTCAAGATTGATAAAGAAAAAATTGAAGTTTGATCAAGCTTATAGAATTGAATTACTTGTAGATAGATCAAGAGCTTGAAGATGTGAAGATCAAATAAGGCTCTATTTTATAGGTTTATTTTATTTTAGTCATGTCACTACTACATAATCGAGATAAGATTTTGGTTAAAAATCATTGTTAAAAGATATGGTGACGGTTTGGTAAACTGTCATCGTATCTAGAGTCGTTAAATGTCAAGATATGTGACGACAGTTTTTAACTGTCGTCTACTCACTACAAGAATTTGAATTTTTTATTACCAAAAATTTAGTAACCAAAAGCCATGTTTTTGGTAACAAAATGTTTTTGTTATCAAAAAATTTTGGTAGCAGAAAGTATTTGTTACCAAAATTTTGGTAGCAAATAAATTTTGCTACCAAAAAAAATTTTTGGTAACAAAATGTATGATATTCAGGGACCAAAAGTTTCAGTAGCAAAAGATTTTTGGTAGTAAAAAGTGTGAGCTTTCTGCAATTAAAATTTTGGTAGCAAAATATATTTAGTAGCAAAAAGTGTGAGCTTTCTGCTAGCAAACTATATTTGGTAACAAAAAGTGCGAGCTTTCTACTACCAAAATTTTGGTAGCAAAATATATTTGGTAGCAAAAAGTGTGCGCTTTATGCTACCCAAATTTTGGTAGCAAAAAATGTGAGCTTTTTGGTCACCAAAACTGAGACAGATTTATATACTTGTATTTTTAAAATATATATATATATATAAATAAAATACCAAATATTAATTTAAAATTTTCTAAATATTTCAATACATATTATAATCCAAATAAAATACTAAAATAGTCATACTTAAACAAACCCAAACATTTATGCAAATATTGTACTAGTAAAATCTTAATATGACAAAAATTAAACGCTCTAACAAACTGAGGCCGGTAGTGGCGGTGGTAGAAGATCTTCTCTTCTTGGGATGGAAGGTTCAGGATGATTTGACGGCAGATTTATCTGTTGAAGTAGTTGTTGAAGTAGCTTTTGATTAATTCATCTTTAGATTGAGAGATGCCAATAATTAATAGTCAAAGAATGGCCTTACCCCAAAATGTTCATGAAACAAGTCCACTGCAGCCTTAACATTGCCCGTGATTAACCCTCGCCTGAAAATTAAGTAGACTCTTTTAAATCTGTTTTCTAACCGTTTGGAAAGACTCAACTCAAGGATCACTCAAGTGCATAAACGAAAGCAAACATAATAATAAACATTATTAAAGGGGGCAACGGATAATATGCAACCAAAAATAATGGTTATATGAACCACATTTTCAAATAACCTATCTGTATGGCCTCTCATCTCTTATCATATTTCACAAAAGGGAAGAGATATAATATATATATATATATATATATACATATAGAGAGAGATCCTCAAATAATCATGTTACCAAGGTTTAGGTTGTTATACGACCAAATAACAGAACATGGATAACAGAAAAGAAAAAATACGACAAATGAAAGACCAGAAATGAAAACAAATCATGAGCTACCAACCATAGAAATGCTAGAAGTCTTATGCGTACATTTGATTAGCAAGCCAAAGAAATTATAAGATGCATCATGCAATATAATCCTATCATTATATATATATGTATAATAATATACATATATATTATGCATGTCCAAGAGTAAGCTATCCGTACCATTAAAAAAAAGAGTAAAACCATCCTTTTCTTAAAAGTAGGCAATTCACAAGCAAAGTGAAATTCAGAAAACACAAACCTAAACAAAAAAGCCAGCATCTCCCGACCTTGTATATCAGTAAGTAACTACACATGAATAAAGGTAAAAACTTTACCACGACAGCTGGCAACCATTCTAGGAAGAGCAACAACAAATTGGGATTTGCTCATAAAGCTTTTACCATCTATTCTTGAAATCTCCCTCTTTTCACAAGCTTTACAACCGAAGAGACATACCTCCACCATCAATCAATCAAGAGAGAGAAAGGCATAAAAATAAGTAACCTTTGGATAATTAAATGAGTGATCAATAAATAAATTCGTCGCTTTAAGTAACCAAAACAGAATGCAAAGAAAAGAATTGGAAGTCCTAATATCTCTTGCACAAATCCAATAGCATAGTTAAGATTAATTGTCCTACAGGGCAAGTTAAATGGATTGGAAAGGAATATGAATGAAGATTCTGAAAAGGGAAACCAACTTCATTTATCACTTTATTGGATATTAGAAATAGTCTGTAAATAGATAAATAGCTGAGTCAGCTTGTAATTAGTTTCATTAGTTACAATTAGCTAAGTTTAGCCGTACAAGTGGTTGGTTAGTTATAACTTATCTTTACAACTTTACTTATTAGTATATAAGCTAGTTTTCTGTATTATTCCAGAGGTCGAATGAGAAATCCAGATTATTCCCAAACAGCTTCCTTCGTTTTCTGTTACTTTCTTGAGATTTTCTCTTCTAACATTGGACAGTGGGAAGAAGGAAGTAACAACCTTACCTTGAACAAAAGATCATTAGCGATGTATTCCCAGGGTAATGATATAGACATTAAGCAGCACTTAAGAGATAAATAGAAATAACGTCGTTCCCTGATTGAAGACCTTTTAACAAGAAAGCAGAAGCACCAAAATTCGGTAAATTGACCAAGTTTTAACACGATAAGGGCTTGATTGCACAAAAATGCATAGCCACACACTAGTGCACGCTATGCCCCATCTAGAACACTTAATCTAGGAACACATATTACAAATAATTTGAGAACATAAAACCATTTGCCTAGAGAAGCTTAACACTAAATAATTAAAATAATGCTACTAAAATAAATGTTTTTCTGATAAACTAATTTATTTCCTAAACGAAAGAAAAAATACATCCGTTTCCCGTAGAGTAAATGAGCAGGAACAAAACTTTCTTGGAAACCAAACAAAAGAAAGGAAAGGAAAGGAAAACCTTGCGAAGCGTGTGTTCGATGGTCTGGTGAGAAAGGCGAACGACGAAGAGAGCACAGTAACGGTCACCAAGGAGGTTGGGATCACCGAGAGGGTCATCTGCAAAAGAAAGAGAAGTTTACATTTTGGTAAGAAACGAAACAGCGGTTTGTCGGCAACTAGGCGGCGACGACGAGAATCAGCGGCCGCGACAGCGACAATCGCAGGCGGCGGAAGCGGGAATCGGAGCCTAGGACGCCGAGAATCAGCTGCTAGAGAGAGAAGGAGCGAGAGAGAGGGAGAAAGGCGGAGGAATTTCTAGCAGAGATGCGAAGATGGCGAAGTGTTTCTGAAGAAGGGGAAGAAGGGCTTCTTCAGGCGACGACGAGTTTCTGAAGAAGGGGAAGAAGCTGGGCTTTTTGTGTTTTAATGAAACTGATGTGTGCGTAGGTGTGTGTTTAATTTTTAGGGATATTCCCACAAAAATTTTGTTCTTTATTTGTTACCAAAAAAATGTTTTGGTTCTTTTGGTAGCAAAAAATTTCATTTTGCCACCAAAATATGAATTTGGTAGCATAATTATATTTTTTGCTACTAAAATTTGGTACTAGAAAATTATATTTTTTTGTTACCAAACATTATTTTGGTAGTCAAAAGCATATTTTTTGCTACTAAAATTTAATTTGGTAACAGAAAGATACATATTAAAAAATTAAAAAACCATTTTTTGATGACAAATATTATTTTAGACTCATTGTTCTAGTAACATTATAACAAAAAATATAGTTTTGAAATTGAAATATATTATTTCATGTTAAAAAATAATTAAATAGTAAGATTATATATTACTCTACGTGGAACATATACTTAGTTAACAATATCACATATATATACATATGAACATGTCTCTTACTACACCTATACAAAATAATTAAATTATCAAATAATTGTTGTACAAAATATACTAGAATGATTGTTAAACTTAATATAGGACATATTTATGGAAAACAAAAAAAAAAACAATACATGCACAAAATGTAAGTTTTAAAGTTTTTATACGATTTGCTACCAAACACAACTTTTGGTAGCAAAAAACGCCTTTTTGTCACCAAAATAATAATTTGGTAGCAGAATCATGTTTTCTGCTACCAAAATTTGGCACCGAAAACTTATATTTTTTTGTTACCAAGCATTATTTTGGTAGCATAAAGCATAATTTTTACTACCAAATATGAATTTGGTACCAGAAAGACGTATATTAAACATTAAAAAACTAACGTTTTAATGTCAAAAATTATTTAAGAATCATTGTTCTAATAACATTATAACAAAAAATATAGTTTTGAAATTGAGATACATTATTCAAAGTTAAAAATCAATCAAATAAGGAAATTATATACTACTCTATGTGGAACATATACTTAATAAGATCACATATGTGTACACATGAACATGTCTCTTGCTACACCTACACAAAATAATTAAATTATCAAATAATTGTTATACAAAATATACTAGGATGATTACTAAAACTTAATATATGACATATTTATGAAAAAAAAAAAAACAATACATGCACAAAATGTAAGTTTTAAAGTTTTTATATGATTTGCTACCAAACACAACTTTTGGTAGCAAAAAACGCCTTTTTGTCACCAAAATAAGAATTTAGTAGCAAAATCATATTTTCTGCTACTAAAATTTGGTACCGGAAACTTATGTTTCTTGTGACCAAACATTATTTTTGTAGCTGAAAGCATACTTTTTGCTACCAAATATGAATTTGGTACCACAAAGATGTATATTAAACATTAAAAAAATAACGTTTTAATGTCAAAAATTATTTAAGAATCATTGTTCTAATAACATTATAACAAAAAATGTAGTTTTGAAATTGAAATACATTATTCAAAGTTAAAAATCAATCAAATGGCGAGATTATATACTACTCTATGTGGAAAATATACTTAATTAATAAGATCATATATGTGTACACATGTCACATATGTGTTATACAAAATATACTAGAATGATTGTTAAAACTTAATATAGGACATATTTATAGAAAATTGAAAAAAAAAAAGCAATACAAGCACAAAATATAAATATTAATGTTTTTATATGATTTGCTACCAAACACAACTTTTGGTAGCAAAAAATGCCTTTTTGTCACCAAAATAAGAATTTAGTAGTAGAATCATATTTTCTGCTACCAAAATTTAGTAGCAAAAAATTATGTTTTTTGGTAGCAAAAAATTATGCTTTTTGGTAGCAAAAACTTGATTTTTCGCTATCAAAATTTGATAGCAAAAAATTATGCTTTTTGGTATTAAAAACTTGATTTTTCGCTACCAAAATGTGACAGAAAACATGATTCTGCTACCAAATTATTAGTAGCAAATGTTATATGTTTTGCTACCAAAAATAATTCGGTAGCAAATACCTCGGGCGGGAAAAAATTTTACTTTCCGCCAACTTTTTGTTACCAAAACATGTTTGGTAGCAAAAAAGTCATATTTTGCTACCAAATTTTTGGTAGCAGAATCTTATGCTTTTGTTACCAAATATTATTTTGGTAGCAAAAAGCTATTGGCGGGAACCAAAATTTATTTTCCGTCATGTTATTTGTTACCAAATTATATTTAGTAGCGGATTGTATTATTTTTGCTACTAAATTTAATAACTAAAGCCTTGATACTTTCAGCTACTAAAATTTGGTAGTAAAAAATGTGTTTTCTACTACCAAAAATTTATTGGTAGCAAAAAGTTTAATCTTTTAAAGTCATTATTCTTGTAGTGACTACTCGCATGCAAGAATAAAAAATTAGAGGACGGTTTTCACGAAAACCGTGCACTGAAGTGCACATTAGATGAAAATTCTTGTAAAAGCATGTCGTTTAATGTACAACTTTTAACTATGGTTTTGTAGAAATCATCGTTAAAAGTCATAAAAAAAAAATTTAAAAAAATTTAGCCGTAAAGTAGTTCTTTCTTCAAATATTATTCACAAATTTTAAAAACATAATTAATATTTCATAACAACCCACTCAAAAAACTTTCGAAGAAATATATTACAAATTCTCCTTCATTGTAACACAAATATTCAAAACCCACAAACAAAATTTCTCTACGAGATCTAATAACAAAAATACTTACATACAAAGAAAACTCTAAATCCAAACAAAAAAACTAAGTTCAATGAAAATAAATTTCTAAAGATTATTAACGTACTCAAGTTCAGTGGCCAAGGTGGGGTAATGAATATTGTGGTGAGATCACGACGGCTGATGATGTATGGGCATAGCTACAGAGGCGGCAGTTTGAGGAAGTGAAGAAAGTATAATTGCAGGAGTGAGGAGTGTAGAAGACATATTTTTAGAAAGAAGAACTTTTAAGTGTTGAGAGGGAGAATTATAGAGAGAGAGATTTAGGGTGTGAGGAAGAAAGAGAGAAAGAACTTAGGAGGGATGGGCAGATTTGAGAGAAAAACTCAGTTCTTAAGAGAGTGCTCGAAGTTATAAAAGAGATATCAACACTTTAAAAAATTTTATAAAAAGAATGAGAGGAAAAAAGCCCGCATTTTTTTTTTGTAAATTTTTGACATTACAAGACAGTTTTTTTTAAAACCCGTCATCTAATTTGCTACATTAGAGGACTGTTTTTTTAAAATAGTCATGTGTTACATTAGGCGACTGTTTTTTAATAAATCATCGTCTAATGTGTGCGTATAGTTTTCAAAATATAGAAGTCTCCATGCCACGTTTTTAGCACATTAAACGACAATTTTTTACATCTAATCTCATATTTGTTGTAGACTTGTAGTGTGTATTGATTTTGCGTGTATTCTATCAAATTAGTTTTAATAGTTTTGGCTGGTGCACACACTAACATTCAAATTATATATTTTTCAAGAAAACTTGCATAAATCAACTCATTGCGTTTTTCTAAAATCATGAAATGAATTTTGTCATAAAAATGATTTTAATTTGCATTATCCCATATCATGTTTTAAAATTTGGATTTATCAAAACACAACCTTGTGGAAGCAAAACCAGGCCAAACTAGTGCAACTAGTCAGCCAGTTGCATGGATTCACGAAATTTATCGGGTTGTTGGTGAACTTGAATTTTCTGTTTCCTTTGATCGACCGGTACTGTTTAAACAATCATTTTTCTAACCATTTGACAGCGAGCTCAAACGGGCAAATCTTGCTCTTTCTTCTATTAAAGGTCATTTTCAGGTCTAAAAAAGGCAAGAACCATTTATTCTCCCAACTTGCCTAAGATTTTTTTTTTTTTTTTGAAAAGAGCTCTCAAGGTTACACAATAATGAATTTTTCATAGATTTTGCATTTTTTTCATATACAACTATTGAGCCTATCTAGATTTCTTCCTCAATAGAGCGATCTCATCATCTGCTAGGTTTAAATTTGTCTCAAACCATTCTAGGAGGGAGAGTTGAGTGTTTATGATAAAATTTTGAAAATCCAAATCCTCACTTGTATTGGTTTCCAAGCCGTGTAATTGGGTACTAATTGGTTTGCTGACTTATGTGTAAAAGCCAGCGGTTGTAATAAGAGGTTTGGGTGAGCATTGGTAGAAAATTCCGCGGTTGTATATTGGAGTGATCGCCGAAAAGACGATCATAATAGTTAAAAAGGTCGAGTAGCAAACATATCATTTTTATTTTTTTGTCCTTTTTAAACAAATGTATCATTCTTATTTTTTCTTTTTAAAACAAACTACTTTTAGCATTCAAAATACCAGAACTAGCCATAAAATAAACCTAATCCTCACTTCCTTTCTCTTATCCCCTCTCATTCTTTATGCTCGCTAAGTTTATGCACGGTCTGGTCCGATCCAGTACCAAATCATCAGATTTTTCAAATCTGACCATTTTGTAAGGGTGGAAAAATTCCAGACTGAACTGAACCCTTTTTAACAATGAGACCGAACTAATTCTTGGAAGCTTTTTAGAACGATCTAGTTCAATCACGCTTTGGACTAATTCTTAGAAGCTTTGTTTTTTTCCTTTGTTACTACATTTCATATTTCTTAAAGTCTAATTAAAAGTTAAATACAATAAATGAACAAAATCATATACCACATGTGATCCATTAAAATTAGCATTCTATAAAGATCAACAAAATCTGATCAGTTAATATTTATATTTTCTAATATGTATGTATAAAACAATATGGTCTCAAAATTGAGTTAATCCAAATCAAATTATTAATTATTTTTGAATTGTTAGGCAATTTGGCGGGTTTTTAGCGTAAATTTGGTGGGAGTTTTACACTTCGCTAACCACCTAAACCGCCTAATGATCCACGCCAAAAGCACACACTTAAATTTTTTACGTTTTAAATATGTTAATTTTTATTCGTCATAGTAGATGTTTTACACTGATAAAACATGCTTTACTATATTTTT